GTTGAGAGATGGAATCATAATGAATCTGACAATTTGTGTACACATTTTCCTATCCCTCGCACAATGGACGAAAAGGTCATTATGATAAAAAGTGGAAGTGAACGTTTTAAATTTATATTAGTGAATAATACACTTCAATGTATGGATTATCTTTTGGCATATCAAGTTTAGTTGTTTCAACTATAACAGATGATTGTAAAAACTCTTTTTGAGAAAAATGATGTGAAACTCGATCAATTGACTTAAAAAAATGATCTAACCAGTTTAGTACTATAATAGGATAATAACCACTTATGATATAAATTTTGCACACAGGGTAACATACAGATAGAAACGGCTTGAAATTTAGGCTTGAAGTTCAAGAGGAAAATTACTTTTATCCTTGACAGAAAAAAATGTCTGAAAAGATACAATGAATTTTCCACTTTTTTTTCTCATGGTTAACATTGTTCAGGCTTTATACAAAACACTCTCATATCAATATTACATTTATATAGCATTCGCAGAAAATAGAACAAAATTTTCCTAGTATACACTATCGGTAATCAAAAAATCCGTGGTGTTTCAGGTACATTCAGTTTTTTCAATCTAAAAGCATTTCTGAAAAAATAAAATATTATATTTTAAATCAGCATCATATATAAAGTAATAATTTTTGCCTGATATCAATTGATTTACGCTTTATTATTAGTGCAACAGACCGAAAAAACAGAAATAATAAAGAATCTATCACAAAACAGAGAGATAAATATAAGCGAATGGATTACATTCACTACCAGCATGAAACTAAGTAGAATGTGTCATCGTTTAAAAAGAAAGCAAAAAAAAGAAAAGGTATAAGATGTACGGAGGGAAAAGTATAGAAGTCGGTGGATATCATGTTGATAGAAAATCGAATCGGATAAGAATCGAAAGAGAGTAGTTAACGTTACTAGGGTAATGATCCGCAAAAAATGAATCAAGAAGGCAACTGGACAATGTTAAAATCTACTAGTATTTGAAGTGAAGGCGCTAACGCTACCTAAAATGATTTGTATTTCATGAAAATTGAGGCTAGGATTATTTAATAGCAGGATATCCTCTGTTATTGGTATATGTAAGTTAAAATAATAAGATTTTTTAGGAGAATATTTCGTTCTGTAGAATACTGTTTACGATTGAAAAAATAGGCATAAAGCTAATTTCTGTTAAATGAGAAAAGAATTTCAAATATTTGAGAAAGGATGATGGCTTTCCTCGTAATATTTCTCTTATTAAAATCTCTTTTAGTGTATTTGGTTTGACAAGTTTGAGTTTTGACCTTGTCACAACAAGATGATTCCATCCATTTGCAACAATGCCGAAAAAAGATTTATCTAATTTCAACTTTGGTTCAATGATGTCTTTCACATTACTTCTTAGATAATAAAAACTATTTACAGAATCAGACTGGATATATGAATTTAAATACCCTGCTATTTATTTACATACTATTTTACAAAAGGCTGTTGATCGACTAACTTCTTCAAGGTAAATCCATCCTAGAATATTCAATGCTTTATCCCGAAAATAACCTTTCATAAGTCCTACGGTAGTGATTGCAGCTTGACATCAATTTTCATCATAAAATCTTTTTCAGCATTGTGTCCCTGTTTAAGTACGTATTGCAAGGTAATGAAAGAAAAATTAAATTAGAAATCATTGTTTTTAAAAAGAAAACTCGTATCAACGCAGGACGTGTCAGAATTGTCCTCTGCCTGTAAAAACATATCCGTATTTTAAAATACGCTTAAAGCGTTTGGGAAACTGAAACGATACCGAACGAATAAAGGTTTAGGAAAATACCCTTAAAACGTTCTGAATAGAGTTTTTCGCCTCTTTCGAATCCTTATTTCGCTAGGTGTGGTTTCAGTTGGAAGTTAGTTGATGTACACATGCGGACAACTGGACGAGAAAAAGAAAATGTAAAATGTACATATTCAGTAGCTACCAGAGACGTGTGAAATATCTCGGCGATATATTTATACGAAGAAATATCTCTTACAATTTCTAAAAATACACTTTTTCTTCTGTCAATAAATCATAAGGACTTTCTATTGTAAATGCAACTCCGGTACCCTTTTGAGTTTTTAAAAAACGCTTTTTTAAAAAAAAAGGAACAGTATTTTTAAAAACCCTATCGATGATAAACTCTAGAGTGTTATCGAAAATTGTCGGTAAGCCTTTTTCCGTTCTGGGACGAAAATGTCAAACAGGTGGAATTTTGTAAAAAATTCGCATTTTTTTACAGTGTGATACACCTTCTGAATTTCAGAAAAAAATCGGTTTTGTACTCTACAATCTGAAAGTTTATCGACGTTCTGTTTTACCGGATACAGTGCTTCGACCTTTCTTGATAGTTATTTTACTAATAATTTTCAATGTCAATAAAGAAAATAATGTTCTTCTTACTACTTGTCCTGATTTGTTTTTATACTTGAAAAACGATTAGACTTCTCATCAATCCACGTGTCTTTGGTTCAATTTTCACTAAGAATATCTCTACTTCGAATAAAGAATACAAATATGCCCGTGGCGAAGATTTTCTTTTGATTAATCTAATTGTTTAGATGTTTACTCTAGTCATAAAACTGGTGTATTGTTTAAGTCAATCAATAATGTTGTGTAACACATTGAATTTGTTTTCTTATAGTCTTTTTCAGTTGTACAAATATTTAGTTTAAAAAATAATCATCACAAAGCAAAATAACGATTTTTTTTTTCTTCTACTCTATCTGTACGTGATCTCGTGAGAATCTAATTGTACATTGATTATTCTCTTTCTGCTAGTAATACAAACGAATAAAACTATTATCCTTAGTCAAGAAGCCAAATAGATACATTCTATTTAGCATCTACAAGTTATATTGTACATAGTGTCATCATTGTCCTTGAAGCCATCTCTTTCTTCTTTCTTTTTCTTTTTTTTTTTTCTATTTCTTTCTCTTTATCCTCGCTAATATTTTATTGTCATCAGTAGTTATATAGATGTGTGTAAGGATTTGATTTTATTAAAAAACATATCCTGTTACTTGTCTTCTCCCTATGTCAACTCATGTGTATGTCTTTTTCCTATTCTCTTCATCAATTGATTAGAAATGAGAGCAATTAAAAATGAAATGTTTTGTTTTATTAATAATACTTCTCACTGTCGATTGATTTTTTTTTTTCTCGTTTAGATATAATATTATTGTTATTACTATCATTATTATTATTATTATTATTATTATTATTATTATTTATTATATGATATTTTTTTAAGAATAGAGGAGAGAAAAGAAAACGCTCCTTAAAATTATCAAAGTAGAAACTAAGAAACTTTTTTTTTCTATGTAAAAATTGAACTTTATCTTACATAATAAAATGGCGACAGAAAATCTAACATCTGAAGAAGATGATGTTCAATTCATGCGAACGGTAGGCTTATTTAGTTAAAGATGTTTCCTTTTTAGATTGAAATCAGTGAAAAATTCGATCATTGAACTAAATATATAAATAAGTAGTTCTGTATCTCTACTTTCAGAGTAAAAAGTAAAAACTTTTGTAACAAAGATCTTTGCTAATTTGTTCAAATTTGTCTAGTCTCTCTGAAAACACGTGATTCTCTTAAAATCTTTACCATTATGCTAAATCGATTTGTTCTATGATTGATAAATTATATAATAGAGGCGAAGGTGTTCTCTTCAGAATGATACGTCGTTGACATCTGTGTGATGTATTATAAAAATGTTATTGCTAATTCACTGACTACGCTAAAATTATTGTTTGCCATGTGCTATCAATTGATGGCTCCGAACGAAGAAAGAAGAAAGTAAAGAAATGAAAGCTTACATGGATTAATTGGAGTAAATTTTTTAATGAAATCTCATGTTTTTCTAGAAACAGAATCTTTCTAGTAACCGTTTTTCGATAATTTTACATCTCTAAACCAGTAGAAAATATTTAAAAGCTAAATCAAATTATCTATCAGTCTATTACTGTTTTTTGTTAATTTAAAATTATTCGGCACTTGATTTTAGGAAGATCATATATGTCTAAGTTGTGTACCAGCATTGGGTGTAAAAAGGATGGCATTATCAGGTGAAGCATTTGGAAATCGGATGTGCTATTTGGAAGATATATCAAACGAGGTATTACAAAAATAACACAAACATATTAAAATATAACTAGTCTTTTGCTTTCTCTGTTCCGCATGTTATTGTATACGCGTCCCTCTCTCTTGAGTATTGGTTTTCATTGTATGTAATTTGTTTTTTATGACACTATGGCATGTTAATGTTATTTGTTGACTACGACTTTTCGCATGGGTGTTTCATGTACTTTACCATTTATTTTATATGTGACTTGAACAATTATTTAATCTTTACCCCTTAATTTGATCCTCGATTGTCTATGCTACAAATATTATATATACGCAGTCTATTTATAGATCTACAGCGTCCGTGCTAATTAGATTTCAAGGAAGTAGATAGATATGCCTTCCAGAAAATAAAGACAAATAACTTGCTTATTCTTCTCATCTCTTGTCTTTAAGGTTTTAATATATTGTGATTTGTTTTTATATAGTTCAACAGTAAATAAATCTATGTGAATAGAAAATCTGTTTGTTCGTGAGAATATAAAATTCAGAATGAACGTGCTTTTTTGTTTTCTGTGCTATTTATTGTATGCGGTTTGTTTAATTTTCATATTAATTGAGACACTGTTGTTAATTCCAAACAGTTGCATAGGACACTTGAAAGGGAACGGTATTTATTGTAATTATAAAATCATGAGAGAATTAGCATATGAAATACAATGTTATTGTATGAGAAAAATTAATTTAGGTTTGCTGTCCCGATTTGGCATCATGCATCTTTGTATTGGAACAAGCTGTTTCTGTTCGAGCTTTGCAAGAAATGGTCAATACATCCTCGACCGAAAATCAAAAAGTATGAATGTATTACAATGTCTTTATCTGGATCAATCCTTTCTTCTCTTTGATGAAGTCTACCACTCAAGGACAAACGTTTCGAACATTATTGTATGGTCATGCTGTTTTATTAAGACATTATAACAGTCAAATGGTTTGTCATTTTCATAAAATCTGAATTTGTTCTTTACTCTACTAGTTTCATCGTTCTAGCATTTATGTTGCCTTTCTACATGTACATCAAATGATAAACTTGCTTTCGACGTTGGACTAACGAAGCATACACAGGGTAGATAAGTGGAAGTCTACATGTGATATTTGGTATTATGCATAGTCAATTAAACTTTAGGTGAATCATGTTGGTGGACAATTTATCCGGCATCAAAGCAACGAAGTGAAGGAGAGAAAGTTCGATTTAATGATGATATTATTTTGGTTTCAGTATTTTCCGAACGATATCTGGTATGGTAATTTGATTATATCTTATGCATTTCGACTAAAAGCATCAAACGAATACGTTTTTATGCAAAAGCATTTAGGCACGTTCGTTGAGTAGAAAAGTTAATTTTCGCCAAAAATATCGATTTTGAGATAAATATATGATCGGATAGTACAAAGTATGTACTTTCGAACGCAGTCAATTTTAGGCCTTCAGAGGTGGTTTTGATGGTTTTTGAGCAAGTTTTCCTGGAGTCTCGTAAAATAACATCTTTGAATACTGTTTTTTCTCAGATATTTATGTAGTTAGATTTTCTTCTTAACGCCTGGATTTATAGAGTAGCACAATTCCGTATAACCTTGTGTTAAAAAGTCACAAGCATTCTGCTACAAACCCTAAAATGTACGTACAGATGCACCGCGTTTTGTCTTAGAATTGTTTTTTTATTCACATCGTTCGTATTTTCCCCAAGTTATGATATGATTAGTATTCTCTAAAAGTTTTATCTAAATTCGACTTATGACTATCGAGTTAGGTTTCTAATAGGAGGAGTGCAAAGCTTTAGTAACAATGGAAAAAATCCAATTTTCTCTATGACTTGAAAAAATATATCACAATGGAATGCATGTACCGTACTGTACATAATATTGTTTGTATGTTTAGCATGCGTATATGTCGCTTAGCGAGCGAGGTCGGGTTAATGCATCGTTTCGTCAACAAGTATGGAATCTTGTACCAATATCAAGTGGAGTAGGAAGAGTGAAAAATCCTGGTATAGATGACTAAAAATAAATTTGATATAAAGATACCATTTATCTATTTCTTATTGCAGGCTACGTACTAGGCGGCGATGTCATTCGAATTGTACATGGTAATATGGATCAGTGCATTATCCCACCACCACCAGATAGTACGATGATAGACGATCCAGGAAGGTAAAAATTACAATGTTGCTGTTGAAAAAGTATATGATGTATTAAATATTCTTGATTTTAGTTTGTTTATTAAAAGTGGTGCTGCCTGTCATCAGGCTCGATCATTGTGGCGTATAGAATGTTTTAAAATAAAGTATGAAATCTTTAAGTTTTGTTATGATTAAGAAAAATCATTGAATTATATTTTTCACAGATGGTATTCAGGATTTGTTACATGGAGTGCATTAGTTCGTTTTCGAAATGTAACATCCGGGCTCTATTTGGCTGTATTAGCCGATGAAAATAATGCTCCGAGAGTAACATGTATATCGAAAAAAAATGCCAATGTTCAAATGATTACCTTTGAACTGAAAATGTCCAAAGTGAGTTTTATGTGTGATATAATACTCAAATCTTCAAGTTATTTTACATTAGGAAAAGCAAAATGAAGAAATACAAGAACAAGAGAATTTAGGCTCACCAACAGTGAAATATGGTGATACAATGGTCTTTATAAGACATGTTGATTCAGATTTATGGATATCATATGAAACACTAGAGTTAACAATTAAAGGAGTTGGAAAAGTAGAAGAAAAACGGATTATTCCTGTAGTTGAAGGTCACATGGACGACTGCTTCAAACTCGTTCATGCACAAGAAGAAGAACAAAAAACAGCGTTGGTAATTAGAATATGCAATGCAATATTAGGTCGATTTAATCGTACAGAGTAAGTGATCGTGCCATCTGTTAATGACATATAACAAGTAGACATATTACTTTTTTTGTGGTATAAATATGGGGTTTAAAAACTCTATTATAGACTCGAAAAGTCGAGAATCTTTTGCTCTACAGAACTCTGTATATCTGGCATTTCCATGCTGCTTCGTTATTTAGAAAATTATGCAAAGGAAGTACAGGACCATTACTGCAACTCGCAACCAAAATTTTAGTGCATTTTCAGCTTTTGAATGATATTTCTTGAAAAATGTAGTAACGAAGAGAATATGGTGGCCATAGAAATGTTCAGTGAATTCAGAACCATGTTTTGAACTAGATCGCTTGGTTATACAATATCAAAATCGCAAGAAATTTTACCACATAAAATCGGATTAAGTATTTTAAGCTCTATCTTTTTTTTATCTGGTAAGGAGTCTCAGAACCGTGAGATATATTGAAAACATTAAGAACAGATATGATCAGTCAATACAAAATACCTGTGATGAATATCTAATAAAAATATTACAAAATAATCAGCAATCAATTTTCTCTGCGTTCATCATTACAGTTGCTTTTCTGTTCTGCTTAGTGCAATTGATTCCGAAGCTGTTAACCATTTATTAAGTAAAAGTGATGTTGTACAAGCATTATTAAAAGATTTAATTGGATTTTTTTCACAACCTGATCCATTATTAGATCATGAAGAAAAACAACTACGTTTAAAAGCGTTAAGAAATCGACAAGATTTATTTCAAGAAGAAGTTGGTATTCATACCTTTTAGAATAAGATAAACTTTAAAAGTTTGCTCTACTTTCTTTCTAGGGTATGATTCGAATAATGATGTCGGCAATTAACTTCTTTAGCGAACGTCGTGATAAAACAATACTATTAGAAGATATTGTTGAAAAAATTGAAGATATTACTGATAAATTATATATTGTATTAGCGGCAATGATTAAAGAAAATCGAAATAATTGTTCAAATTTTGCTCAAAGTACAAGATTAAATTGGCTTGTTAATCGATTGCAATCACAACAGGCAAGCCGAGGTGTATTAGCGGTGTTACATAACGTACTGGTTGATAGTCCAGAAGTGTTAAATATGATTACAGAATCGCATATACTAGCAATTATTGCTTTATTAGATCGAAATGGACGAGATGCAAAAGTTCTAGATGTTTTATGTTCGTTATGTGTTAACAATGGTGTGGCAGTTAGAGCAAATCAAAATGTTATATGCGAAAGTGTATTACAACGTCGCGATTTGTTATTACAAACAGCACTTATAGATCAGATCACATGGTAAGAGAAGAAGACATTATTTTTCCAATATACAATTTACATCTATTGTATTTTATTAATCTTCTTGTTTAGTATGCGTCCAAATATTCTTGTTGGTGTGGAAGATGGCGATTCTATGTATAAAAAGTGGTATTATGAAGTTGTTATTGATCATATTGAACAGGTAACACATGTTAAACCACATATTCGTATTGGATGGGCGACAACTCATTTTTTACCATCACCTGGTCATGGTGATGGAATGTCATCGATCGGTATTGGTGACACTACCTATTCATTTGGTTTTGATGGTCATAGTATTTGGTTTGCCGGTCGTTCATATAAAGTGAATAATAATGATGGAAAAACAACAACAAATGAACTAAAGAAAAATGATGTTATCGGTTGTCTATTAGACTTGCGTATACCAGAAATGTGGTTTTCATTAAATGGTTTACCTGTTAAAGGTTTATTTAGAGAATTTAATCTCAATGGAATGTTCTATCCGGCTATATCATTATCGTCAAGAGTCAGGTAATATATTGAACATCTGTGTGGTCAGAAAAAAAGAGTATGGATGTTTTTAGTTGTCGATTTATTCTGGGCGGAGAACATGGCCGTTTTACCCATCGTGTACCTGAAGGAGCCGCGCCGCTATTCGAAGCTATGCTGATAAAACAAAAAGTTTTAATTGAGCCATATTTTACTTTTGGCAATGTTGAAAGAAACCGTTTAGAAGGTCCAATGGCAATACAAAACAATATTGCATTTACACCACAGCCCGTCGAAACAGCACATGTAAAAAAAATACTAAGTCTTAATTATTAATTTATTTTATATAGGTTTATAATAAAGTATTTTTTATCTAGGTAAATGTTCCCGTTTTTCTTGATGGTGTGCGTGATAAATTAGCCGAAAATATTCACGAATTATGGTCAATGAATAAAATTGGGAGTGGCTGGCGATATGGAGAGGTAAAAATGAAAATGTTATTGAAAAACAGTAGATCTATTTAATTCTAATTATGTTTATTCTAGTTTCGTAATGATACGCAAAAAATACATCCATGCTTGACGTATTTCGATAGATTACCCATGATTGAGAAACAATACGATATTTCAACAGCTATGGGAAATCTAAAGTAACAAAAAAATTTAACATTCATTATAAATTACTAATTGAAAAAATATCGATTTTTTTAGAAGTTTATTAGCACTCGGCTATCACATTGGTATTGATATAAAATCAGATGAGAGACGTTTGAAATACGTTAAACTTCCAAATACGTATGTTCAATCAAATGATTATAAACCACAGCCATTAGATTTGTCAAGTGTACAATTGAGTACCAAAATGGATGAATTAATTGATCTATTAGCGGAAAATACACACAATACCTGGGCAATTGGACGTATTAAAGATGGATGGAGTTACGGTGTATTCGAAGTAGGTACTTTTATATTACAAATGAATATCAATGGGAATAATATTGAATTTCTTCTGATAGAATATTCGTCAAAAGCGTAGTCCACATTTAATACCGTATGCAATTATTGATGATAGTATTAAAAAAATTAATCGTGATATTGCAGGCGAAACGGTCAAAACTATACTGGCCTACGGGTACACAATTGATGCTCCATCGGGTGATGTTGAGGATATCACTTGTCGTTCAAAAGCATTATCATCAAAAATCTCATCACCACTCGCGCAATCGAATAACAATAGTAAACGCATTCAACTCTATCGTACATATCGTGGAGAAAAAACATTTGCAGTTACCAAAGGCAAATGGTATTATGAATTTGAAGTAATAACAGCTGGACAAATGTTAGTAGGTTGGTGCAAAGCATCAAAGGTCGATTGCTATCATCAATTGGGCAGAGATTCAAATGCATACGTTTTTGATGGATACTATGCGAGACGTTGGCATCAAAATTCATCAGATTCATTTGGAAAACAATGGCAAAGTGGAGATATAATCGGAACTATGATTGACTTACATGATAAAACTATTAGCTATTCGATTAACGGAGAATTTATGTTAGATAATTATGGAAATGAGGCAGCATTCGATAACCTTGAAATTGATGACGGTAAGTACTATCCATTTCAAAAATATAGTACAGAAGATTCTATTTTAAATAAGGCTAAAAGAAAGAAGATAGAGACACCCAGTTTTCGTCATTCGAGAGTCAAGATCTGAACACGTTGTTCTACAGAAAATATTCTTTTAAAATTCTTTGTGAAGATTGGCTGTTTACTGTGTCTTTAGAATGGTTAGCAATCACGCTGGATCTTGTGATAGTGTTTGTTTTCAGAAAAACGTTCAATGACCTGATAAAAGCCTGTATGTGATGAAATGATCCATTTCTGACTATATTTACTGAAAATTCAAAAATTCACAAGTCAACTTTATTCGAACTTGATCAAAACTACTTCAGAAAATCAAGATATACTCTATTTTACCGGCTGTAGAGTACAGTAAAAATTTTAAAACTCAACAGAAAATTCCCTGGTCTGTGCCATGATTTATTGGAATGTGTCAAAATAAAAAAATACGTTTTGCTAATCTTAAGTATGCAAGCGTGAATAATACAAGTAGTGAAGTTAGTGAAGTATGTAAGCGTGAAGAATACAGTGTATCTTGATTTTCCGAAGTAGCTTTGATCAAGTTCAAATAAAGTTGACTTATGAATTTTTGAATTTTCAGTAAATATAGTCAGAAATGGATCATTTCATCACATACAGGCTTTTATCAGGTCATTGAACGTTTTTCTGAAAACAAACACTATCACAAGATCCAGCGTGATTGCTAACCATTCTAAAGATACAGTAAACAGCCAATCTTCACAAAGAATTTTAAAAGAATATTTTCTGTAGAGCAACGTGTTCGGATCTTGACTATTAAAATTGAATCTTCTGTACTATATTTTTGAAATGACTAGTAGTATGTTACGTATTTTTTTCTATATACTTTCAATTTTTATGTTCAAGGTTTTGTACCCGCTATAACATTCTTTGTGGGACAAAAAGCTCGAATCAATTTTGGACAAGATGTTAATTCATTAAAATACTTTACCTCATGTGGGCTACAGGAAGGATATGAACCATTCTGTGTGTAAGTTACTAATACATTTATGATGTTATTACCTTTGTTAATGTCTCTACCTATCTCTTTATTCACTTTTTAAGTAATATGTCAAAAAATTTAACATTCTGGTATTCAAATTTTATTCCATGTTTTGCGGATATATCACCAAATTCAACTTCGTTAGAAATTATCCGTATTGGTGCTAGCAGAGATAATTCACCATCAATTAAATTAGTATCAAAATTATTTGGTACATTAGATGCTGTTCAATTTGAATTTTTACGTTTGTCATTGCCTTTAGCGTGTCATGATAAATTTACGCCAAAGTAAGACATATATTTAAATTCATTGGAATACTTGAGTTTTCAAATTCAAATTTTAGGCATATTACACAAGAACGTAAACAAATTGCACTGAATGAATTTCTTTATCAACAAGAGGAAAAAGCATGTATGTTATAAAACAAGATTATACTCTGTTAACATCAGGTAATGATATTTTTATTTTAGCTTTCTCTTTTCCTGTACTTTCTTCAACTACTCGTCGGTCATCGCTAACTCCTGGTACCACAGATACAATTAATTCACTCTTAACAACAACATCAGATTTAACAACAAATTCGAATTTTCTATCGCCTGATGGTGTACATGCAACAACTGAAAGTAGTCCTTTAACAACAGCTAATAAAGGTTTACGTAATCCTGCAAACTTACTAGTTAAATTTAAAGATTCATCAGTATCGAAAAAAAAATCATCATCCCCACAATATGTTAACGGAGATGCACATTTGTTAATTGATAGATCGGATAATCAGACTGTTACAAACACTCAACGTTCCAAATCACCTGGCAAAAAACTGAATCATTTTCTTAACCGTTTTGCAAAAGATACAGCTCGAACAGATTTAGATAATATAAAATCGAGTAAACATTCAGCAAAACATAATTCTGCTAATATCAATTCGAATGTAAATACACTCGTTGTTGGAGCTACACCACCGCAATCCGCATTAAAACCACCACCATCACTAGCACGAAAATCTAGTGCGATTCGACGATCTTTTATTGAAAATGAAAATGAGGAAACTATTCAAACAACAGAATTAGATACAGAAGAAATACAAGCTACTGCTGATCATATTCACGAATATTATTATTCAATACGAATATTTTCATCTCAAGATCCAAAACAAGTTTATATCGGATGGATAACATCAAAATTTAGACCAATACTACAAGATGGAGGACAATCAGCACACTCATCATCATCATCACCATCATCACCGTCGTTAAACACAGCAGCTCTAAGTCCAAGTGAAAAATTATCTAAACTTGTTCGAAAATGTACAATAACACAAACAGCTGAAGATGGATCAATTTTAGAAAGTGTAACACATAGTGATTCATACATGTTTTCAGCATGGGAACTATTAGAAACTATGCCAGACACAGAAGCTGTTGCTCGTCGAGTAACAAATGGTCTATTAATCGGATGTGTTTGTGATGTATCAACGGGACAATTAACATTTTACGTTAATGGAAAAGAATCAGCTCAAAAATTACAGGTAATATCGCCGTCAGACCATTATGTATGCGTTGTTTTACATTTTTCTCTTTCACACAGGTTGAACCAGGCATTAAATTATATCCAGCCGTCTTTTTTCAGCCAACCGCTAAGGAAATTTTACAATTTGAATTAGGCCGAATTAAGGTAAATAATTGTATCTTTTTAAAATTTTCAAAGCACTCACTGTTTAAAGTAATTTGTTTTCTAGGGAGTTTTACCATTGACTGCAGCTCTCTTTCCATCATTGGGAAAAGAAGAACGTTGTCTACCGCGATTACAACCACGTCTTCACTTGCAAGCTTTAGCGCATTGTCATTGGTCACGTGTACCGAATGTGAATATTCGCTATCAACAATTGAAACTATCAGATCTAAAAGGATGGAGTGTGTTCTGTGAAGATCCGGGTATGTCTTTTAGAAATTTTTTCGTTTTTTTTTATAGTTACAAGTTATAAATAATTTTTTCCATCATAGTTCAAATGGAAGCAGTATACGTACCTGAAGAAGATCGCTGCACAGATATTTTGAGTCTGGTAGAAAATGAAGATAATTTGAAGTAAACATTGACTTCCCTATGAATAAGCTCAATTTTTATTTTCGTTGTTACTGTTTCATAGTTTTTGTGCAAATACATTGACTTTATATAATGCAATATGTGCTCAAGGAAATAATCGAGCAGCTCATGAAGTATGTAAACTGGTTGATGAAAAACAGTTAATGCATTGTATAAAAGATCCATGTAAGTAGGACATATTCTCTTTTCAATAAAAACTTTCAATATTTACATACATAATTGAATAATTTTGTAGATCTGTGTGGTTCATTACGCGTAGCTATCCATAATTTACTAATTGCTCTCCATTTTGAGCCACATGTACGGGGAAAAAGTTTAACAATTAACGAATTTATCATACCATTATCAGCTTCTTTGAAAAAAAATGCTCTATTACGTACACATGAGTCATTTGCGGTACAAAAACCGACAACGTATATACCACCGATGGAAAACTTTCTATCTGTAAGACCAAAATTGATTAAAGAAGAAGAGTAAGTATTATACATTTTGTATACCAATATTCAGTATTTTAAATATTTTTCTTTATTTTATCTAGTATTAAATCCGAACGTGAACGTAAATTACTTGTACCACCACCATTTAATGTTACAGCATTAAAAGAGTATGTTATGTCATCAATAACAGATGCTGTTGAAAAAAGTGCTAAACATCTTCGTGATCCAGTTGGTGGTTCATATTCAAATTGGTTTGTGTAAGTGACAACATTTTATAGAATTGTGTATTGTCTGACAGTATTTTTTTAAATTGATTTTTTAGTCCTTTATTACAACTGATTGATGCGTTGCTTGTTATGGGATTATTAGATATTAACGATATTCAACAGTTATTAATATTGATTGATCCAGTATCATTTGAAATAAACTCTCAAAAAGGTAGCAATATTTCAACTTCGCTACTATTAAACTGAATATACTTATTTTTTTCTTTTGTAGAAGGATTGTCAAACATCGATGAAGGTTTATTACAGATGAAATTGGATGAACCGGTTAAACTTCAAATGTGTTTTGTACTACATCATTTGTGTGATTATCAATTACAATATCATATTGAAGCAATTGTTGCTTTTTCTGAAGAATTTGTTGCTCAAGTTCAAGTTGTATGTAATTGAAAAAAGATAATATTTAACAGACACATACATTGACATATTTTTTTAGGATCAAAAAAGGCGTTATAATGTTTTGAAAGAATCAAGTTTACCACCAGCTTTGATGGCGAAAAAAACGAAAGAATTTCGTTGTCCACCTAAAGATCAAGTAAGCGATCACTATTATAATCAGAAAAGAGAATATTTTTATTTGAATATCATTGAATATTATTAGATGCAAGCACTGATGAATTTTAAACGAAATGACGATGATGCATTAATTGGAAATGAAGACATGCAAGAAGAAATTAAAGAAACATTAAAAAATTTTCATTCGAATCTCTTATTTTTACAACAAGTACAACTAGTAAGAATAACTGAGTGCATTTAGTGGATTTTAGTAATCCTGTCATTTCATATTTTATTTTTCAGACACATACGGATTCTACCAACACATTAGCAATAAAAAAGCAAATTGATCCTAATTCATCATTAACGATTTTTGAACGCTTACTACAAATTCTTATTCAACAATTAATGAAAAAAAATAATAAGGCAAACGAATTGATCAATAAAGTAAAAAGTTTAACATGGAAACGTGGAAGTATGTTTCAAAATAGTATGAATAAATGATATAGTCAAATATGAATGCGATTGAATTCAGTTTATCTCATCACTAACATTCGTTTTAAAATTTATTTTAGAAACGTTATGTGAAGTTATTAAAAAGACATTGATTGAATGGGGTTACGCAACACACATCAATGATCCTAATTTAATACGAGAAATATTCAAATTACTCTATCGTCAATATGATGGTATTGGAGAAGTAGGTTATATATCATTGATAATATAATAGATCGTCTAACCATGTTTATATAATATTAACAGATATCTCGGTGTCTCGAAAAAACATATACAATTAGTGCAAAATCTATTCGTGATATAACTCAATTACTTCGTCAATTAAGTACTGTACGTGCACTGTTAACTGTCCAAATGGATGCAGATGAAGAGGAAATAATGATTCGATGTTTAAAGTAAGAGTTATGTTATCTCTCGACATCCTCTGAAAAAATAATGATTTTTCCAATACCAAAAAGAGTTTTTGAATTTGTCGCTACCCTCTAAAAAAAGTATAGTTTAAAAAATCTAAAACGGTTTACAGGAATCTCACCATACGGAGGGAGCACTCTTGGGTTTCGAAAAAGACTCTTATGTAGGATTTTTGAGCTCTTCTAAATTTATTCGTTTCGTACGGAGACATTCGCATGAATCCTTTGGAAAGGTTTAGGAAAGGGGAGCTCACTTAGTACGAATTTTTTTGGGGAGAGGTCGTAATGTGGTCTAATGAAAAACAGAGTTTTCTGAAAAACTGATGAACGGGCAATAGTTAAAAACTTGAAACAAAAACGAAAAAGTGCTCCATTGAGTTTCCAATCAGTTCTGAAAATATGAAGCCTTAGTAACTTTTAGTTTTTATTTCATAATATTTCTACGGAAAGCCCAAAAAGAGGGAAGGGATATTCTTAACAAAATGTTTATTATTATTTAGTGATATAATTGATAATAAAGTATTTTACCAACATCCCGATTTGATGCGTTCGTTATGTGTTCATGAAACAGTTATGGCCATTATGGTTAATCGTCTAAATAAAAGTAAACAAGAACAAAGTTCAATGTCAGATTCAAATGATATTAATGGATTAATGTCGACAATGGAAGGTGAAAATCTAGAATCTCATATACAAAAGGTATGTTAAAATATCTTACAATTTTTCTTTAATATTATCTTAATATCTATTTCATATTGAAAAAATAGGAAGACAAAGTGGAACTAGTTACAACATGTTGTAAATTTTTATCCTACTTTTGTCGTACATCACGTCATAATCAACGTGCTATGTTTGAACATTTAAGTTATTTATTAGAGAATAGTTCAATGTTGCTGTGTATGTTAACATTTTTGAGTAATGTCCATTTAAATAACTTCGATATGCTCATTATTTAGCTCGTCCATCATTGCGTGGTTCATCTCCGTTAGATGTTGCATCTGCCAGTGTCATGGATAATAATGAATTAGCATTGGCGTTACGTGAATCACATTTAGAAAAAATAGCATCTTATTTATCACGTTGCGGTACAACAAGAAATGAACAATTAATTTTACAAGGTTATCACGATATTGGATGGGATCCGGTGGAAGGCGAACGATTTTTAGATTTTTTAAAATTTTGTGTCTGGGTTAATGGTGTGTGGACAAAAAAAAATAACAACTATTAATTTAAACGGAATAACATCGAAATATATTTTTTCTTTAAGGTGATACTGTTGAAGAAAATGCTGATTTAGTTGTACGCTTATTAATACGGCATCCAGATTGTCTTGGACCAGCGTTACGTGGCGAAGGAGGTGGACTGTTAAAAGCAATTAAAGAAGGGATTGCACAATCATTATATATAGCACGAAGGTAAAAATAATTGTTACTCATTTTACATTTCATAATATTACTTTTTTACACGAATTTTTGAAGACAAAATCCAGATGATCCTTTGATACAATTGGCTTATCAAGAAATGATGGATGATGAAAGTATGCACAGTTTAAATGACGAGTAGTAAGTAAAATTTTTAATACAATTTAAAATAAAGGACAATATGTATAGTTTGCTTTTACTGCAATGCAAGATTTTAGTGCTACCTATATCTTTTTGATGAAGTAGTTAGGATTTTTGAGATTCTACTTTCTATCGTTTGTAACTCAAAGAAATCCGACAAATAGACAGACATCATTTTTTCATGCTTTTCATATTGCTAAAGAAACATGTACAACTTATGGAAAAAGAGCAAGTGATTTATTTAGTTACCGTTTTTTCGATGTCTATCTCCTCGTCTCGGATGTAGTAAATAAATTTGATTGTTTTCTTGTGTGATAGTTCTGTGTTATTCGTCTTTCTTCAATCTGATAGAAGTAATCAACGTTTTTAATTGTTGTTACTAAAACTATTTTATCACTTTTTTTTAGTGATCGATTACAAGTTCGTTTGCCGTATGAAGATGATGAAGATTATATTGACTTGGGTGCCGCTGAATTATCATTTTATGCAATTCTGGTTGAATTATTGGGACGTTGTGCACCATCTGAAGAAACAATTAAAATGGGAAAACCAAATGCTATTAGAGCAAAATCCATATTAAAAAGTTTAGTATCCATGGGTGATTTAGAAGGCGTACTAGGATTAAAATTTCTATTATCAAGTAAGTTAAACTCATAAATAGAAGAGAATATGCATGAAAGTAGTTTTGACATTTAGACGAAGAATCAATGCCATCAGGATTACAACCGACTCATAAAATGTCGATAATTCTATTTTTGGAACGTGTCTATGGTATACCAGATCAGGAAACATATTTTCGTCTATTGGAAGATGCATTTCTACCAGATATACGAGCAGTCACCGTTCTTGATATGGCAACAGCATCTGAAAGTGATATGGCATTAGCATTAAATCGTTATATATGCAATTGTGTTATACCATTAATGACAAATCAAGCAAATTACTTTGATGACAGTGATCATCGTTCATCATTATTAGAATCCACCTTGCATACAGTCTATCGTTTATCAAAATGTCGATCGTTAACAAAAAATCAATTAGATGCGGTGTGTGATTTTTTGCTGGCATTTGCCAAGTACGTATAGTTTTTTTGAAACATGAGTACACCATCTTGTCTCTTCTCTCATAGCACGTTGAAACCATCAATGATGACACCATTATTGCGAATATTAATATACGATGTACCTGCATTAACCAATCAAACCATTGTTCCACTAAGAGTAGGTTATTATATTTCACAACAACAATTATCATATAAACAAATGTTTTTATTTACAATAGATGTTAACACAATGGTACGAACGATGTGGACGATATTATAGTACTAGTGCTACAGAAGAAGAAAAACGTTTAACAATGATGCTATTTCAAAAGATATTTGATGCATTGGCCTCTCGTGTATGTATCCTAGTAAAATTCCTATGAATTTTGTGACAGGATCCGAGACATATCCTACTAGTATCCTACTAGGATTTCGCTTTAATTTCTTAGGATTCTAACAAAATCCTCCAGAATCCTGATGAAATCAGGTATACCAGAAAGTCATCGAATTTTCTAAGGTACTGTTAGAATCCTAAACAAACTTAAGCGAAATCTGCCAGGAAGTTTTAGGTGGATCCTGTAAGATCCTGGCAGTACGTTGTCACACTTTCTGGCCCGATCGGCCAAGATTGCCCATTTCGGCAAGCTGTATTGCCCAAACAGGCGATATAGTCCGATCGGGCAAGGAATATCTTACCCGTTTTGGTGGGATCTCCAGACTTTTTTCTTTCAGCGGATTGGCGCATAAATCAATGGTATAGCGCATGTAGACACTTACTCCACGTGATAGAGCGTCAAAAATTCCATCAGATAGAGTTTTCTTTGAGTGATATGGTGCTTTCTTCTTGATGCTGGAGAGCTGACAGTTTATAATGTTTTATGATCCGAACAGGTAAGAAGGCTAACATCCTTTCAGCAGTTCTTCTCGTTAAGGAAAAGGTATATTTGTGTCTCGAATAATAAAATCTCTGTATGTGTGATCTGCATTAGAAAATTTAATTTTCCAAATGTACAAGGAAAGAAAAAGGCAAGATAACGATGCGTTTCGATATCTATACGGCATTGCGTATTGTTCTATTCTGTTTGTCGTGAAAATATTTATACATACCTATTACATCTCTCTTCTCTGACATTCAAAAACTTGCTTTCGCTTTTATAAATATGGTTAAAGGAAAACTCCGCTGTCTGTGCTAATATTAATCATGATAAATGGCACAGAGGCTACGGACAGGCAACAAAAGAAAAAAAACTTTCTGCCTAATATCCTCATCGAAAACCATGATTGTTGCTTTCCAAGGTCCATTCTTCCGATAGACGATAACAATAAGCCGAAGTATAGCTGTGTGCGTTACTTTATCTGTCTGCACGTTATATATACATGTTATTTCAGTCTTGCCGAAACGGGCAATATCGATCTTATCCCATCGAGCAATATGGCCAAATCGGGCAAGATAAATGCTCAAAATTGAGCTATGTTTGCTATTCGTCTCTGTCATAACAGAGAAAGAAGGGTGAACATTTAACTTCAATATACGGTGAATAATCAGTGCATGAGGAGTAGAATGAGCACTTCCAGCCCACTAAACGACTGATGGTTCTCGAGATCAGACCTTATCTGATCGGGCAAGTGACAACGAACTGCCTAGTAGGAAATAGACAGGAAGTATGTAGGATTTTCTCTAGGATATGCGCACTGATACACTTAACATGCTTTGAGTCGACTACTAAATAATTTTAACTGTAGGCTTATGATCCAGAATTATTCAGTAAAGCATTGCCCTGTTTATCAGCGATTGGTAGTGCATTACCACCGGATTATTCTTACTCAATTAGTGCTCAAGATAATATTAATTATGCACAAGAACAGATTAAATTACAGGAGGAATATGAACCAAATCCTGTTGATATAACAGGGTACATTTGAAAATAATATATAATTTTTGTTTTAAATGTCTTTGTTCTAGTGTTTCATTAAGTCCACATATGGAAGAATTTGTTAAAGCATATGCTGAAAGTGTGCATGACCAATGGAGTTATGCTAAAGTAATTAATAAGAGTACACTTTATTAAACTTGTTTTAATTGACTTGTTATCTATTAGATTGAACAAGGATGGTCGTATGGTGAACAAATTAATGATAAATATCGTCAACATCCAAATATCAGACCGTACAAAACATTAGATCGAAAAGTAAACGAAAATTATCATTGTTCGAAATGTGAGTCATAAAATTGTTCTTATATCACAGGATCAAATTAAAATTGAAGAACCCATACGTGATGCATTAAAAGCGGTGGAAAAATTAAAATTTCATTTGGAAAAAACGGACAGTGGTTCAACTCGTATGGCCATAAAACCAATACAACGAAAAAAGCAGAAAGTAATAAATTTATTTTTAAATCTCATGCAGTGTCTAAATTCAATTCTTTTAGGATATTAAAGCGTCCGATTATTTTCCCCGAGCGGTGGATTTTTCTAGTATGACGCTGACAAGGGAAATGGAGGTACACATTATTACTGGACAAATGTGGATCTTATCATTAACTATTTAATCATTATAGGATCTTGCAAGAGCATTAGAAGAGAATGCACACGAAATGTGGACGCGTCAATTGAAAAATCGTTTATATGCAGTTGGTGAGTAATATCTAAGATGAATTTTTTTTTTCATAGGATTCCATTGATTATAGGACAAAATAGTCAGTCTATAGTCTTCTACATATTTAGTGTGTGTGTCTGTGTTTGTTGCCACACTGTTTCTCCATTTTCTACACACGGTCATGGTAATCTCTCTAAAACGAAACTACTAGATATCTTTTAATCTCTTTGATTAATAATTTTGATCGAAAGAGTTTTTTTTAGTTATTGATAGTTTATTATTTTTATCGAGTGTCGATAATTGAAAGATATTGCCAATGACATGGTCATATCTACACAATGTATTTGTGAGAGGCTTATTTGTCTTGTGAAGTATCTATTTTGGTGACCTAGATGAATTTTCCTATAAATGGTTTTACTTCTTTGCTTGGTTATGCACGGGTATTACTCTAAAATAAAGTGGAACCATAGCATAGAGATTAAAATTTCAAAGTCAATGTAAGTAACACTCAGGCTTTGAAGAATTCACATGATGAAATCAACTATATTGATACCTGTTCAACTTTCTCTCGTCCAGTCAATGAAACTATAATTGACAAATAAATATTACTCATAGATAAAATATTTTGTTATCCTTTCTAGGTGGTGGTTTACATCCTCGTCTTGTACCCTATGCTTTATTAACCGATAAAGAAAAACAGAAAAATTATAAATTTTATCAAGAATTAATCAAATATCTTCATACATTTGGATATCATATCATAAAGTATGTATAAAAGACATCGTTATTATTATTATTATTATTATTATCTTTATATTTTGCATTTTGTTCTAGAAATCTTACAGAGGAGGGCACCGATACAAATATTAATAAAATGAAGTATAAATATTGATAATCATTTAGAACAGTTCATTATTTGTTTTTATGTTTTTATTTTATTTTATTAGAATTAATGAGCAAAATACTTTAGCATCATCTCTATCACCATCCCATATCACCGAAAAACGTTTTGCATTTAGTTTACTAGAAAAATTATTAGAATATGTTGAACGGGCTGCTCATAATATGCAAAATTATAAAGAAAGTTCAAAATTTTCTTTACATGAAAGTTATTGTTTATCAACAAAAGATGTGAAATTTTTTGGAAAAGTAAATAGAATAATAAGTATAAAACGAGATAGATAGAGAATTCATTTTTTTTCTTCTTCTTTATTTAGGTTGTACTACCATTAGTTGAACGATATTTTCAAGCGCAACGACATTATTTTATTATGCCCGCATCATTAAAAACGGGTGTTGGTTACGCATCGGTTAAAGAAAAAGAGATGAGCTGTAGTTTATTTTGTAAATTGGCATCTTTATTACGTCAAAAATTTACGGCATTTGGAAATGATGTCAATATATCTGTAAGATGTTTAAAAGTCTTGGTACGAGCTATTGATGTTAGGTAAGAAGAATAGCATAATGGGAAATTGTTAAAAAAAAGACTTTGAATTTATTAATATAGTTCTGTAATGAAAAATTCACAAGAAATGGTTCGTGCATCATTGTTACCATTATTCAATAATATAGCCGAAGATTTATATCAAACGGTACAAAATCTTCAACATGGACGTTATAGTCAAATTAAAGGTACATTACAACGTGGTGCCACCAGTCTATCATATATAAATATGGTACTGTTGCCTATTCTATCATCAATGCTCGATCATTTGGGAAAAAATCAATATGGTGTAGATGTTTTTGAAAATGAAATACAATTGTCAGGTTATAAAATTCTAAACGCTTTATGGATAACTAGTAAACAAGGAATTAAATTTGTCAATCGGTACGAATATAAAATTAATTTATTCAGTTAATCTATTTTAACTTGTTTTAATATTGTAGTGAATGGATTATAGATGAATTAAATCGGTAAGTTAATACAAGAATTTTTTATTAATTTTAAAATATTTTTTGCGTTTTTTCTTTAGACATCGTCCATTAATAGGAGAGTGTCTTAGTGCTTTTGCCGCATGTTTTCCTGTAGCATTTTTTGAACCAGAACTTAATCGTAACAATAAACATGCATCAAATGTTTCACAATTATCACCTGAAGCACAAGATGTTATGACAGAAGTAGCACAAACAATTCCACATTTAACAAAAGTCATAGCCGATATTGAAGAACATGTTGATTCTGGATCAATGTACGATGATGCACCATATTTAATTGAAGTAGTATTACCATGTGTTTGTTCATATTTATCATTTTGGTGGAATTATGGTCCGCAAAAAGTCAAGCAAACAGATAGGTTAATTGTTGTTTGTCATCATTGCATTCTTTTTTAATATTAATAATTTCTGTTTTAGTACTAAAATTACAAATGTAACGTCAGAACATATGAATTCGGTACTAGGAAGTGTATTAAAATTAATTAACAACAATATTGATACACAAGATGCACCATGGATGAAACGTATTGCAGGTAACGATAACTTTAATTTAACTACTACAAAATCATTTTTATAATATTTTTTTTTTTTGATAGTTTATACTCAAGCGATCATATTGAATTCATCAACAAGTTTACTAGAAAAATATTTTCTTCCCGTATCGCAACGTTTAAAATTGAAATGTGATGTTTTATATTTTCAAGAAGAAAATCTTAAACATGCTACACGATTAGAATCTTCGGATAGAGAAGATTTGGAAACATCGTTAATGAAAGTAATAGTCATTGGATGTTTAAATATTCATACATCTTTTTTTTTTATTTGTTTAAGAATTATGAAATATTAGTTCGTGATGTGTATGCATTTGGACCACTGTTAGTTAAATATGTGGATTTACATCGTTCCTCTTGGTTAAAAAATGCTGATACCTATGCTAATGAATTATACAATAATATGGCCGAAATATTTTCAACATGGTGTAAATCAAAATTTTTTAAACGAGAAGAATTGAATTTTGTTACTCAACATGAAATAGATAATACGAGTATGTTAATGCCGGGTGTCAGTGGTACATCAGGTTCATCGGCGGGTAATAATACGTCATCAGTGACTTCAACAAGTAACACTGTGGGAAACGCTTGTACAACACCAAATGATATGATGAAAAATTTTGGCGATTTGGATTCTGGCGGAGGAGGTTCATTGAAACAGAAAAGAAGAAAACGTCGCATGGAAAAAGAAAAATTTACATCGTTAAGTGTTGCCTGCATAAAACGTCTATTACCAATTGGAATGAACATGTTTGGTGGACGAGAACAAGAATTAATACAGTTAGCCAAACACAAGTTGATTGAAGTAAACAGAAATGTTATTCTAGAAAATTTAAAATGAAATACACATATAAAGGATAAATCTTGTCAATCCGATTTGTAGCTCTGTGTTCACAGTGATATCTATTGCTTCTGGTAGAAAAGAAAACATTGGTAGGCATTAGAAAACACATGGCCATCTTGGAATGACGATAGTCAGAGGATTGTGTCTTGCGCCATTCAGAAGTCAAAACTGAAGTGCATAATACAAAAATGTTTGAGATTTATTTTTAGGTGATCTCTGAAAAAACTATTCTTGAATATGGAAAGCATATTTGTTTTTTCACATGCGAAGCTAGTCTCGTATGTCATCTTCAAACTATCATATGTCTTCAAAACTCTTGAACGATTCAAAATATACTCCGTTTTAGCTGCTTTACGAGTTGATAAACCCACCTGAGATCTTTTTAAAGCGTTTTCTAGACAACTTTAAAAGTAAATACAAATTATTTTCTCAGTTTGAAGCATAAGATTCTGTAAAAGAGCTAAAATAACGTATACTTTGAATCTTTGAAATGTCTTTCGGTATAGTATTGCCAAATGTCTTTAGTATAGCATTGCCATGAGACTCATTGTGGTCAATAATCTGAGTTACCATTATTTTTAGAGTTTTTGTATATGATCTTATACCATCTGTGAGACAACTAGGAAATCTGATGCTAAATGACAAAAACGAACAAATCGAATAGTTCATATTTTGAAGACGACACTCGAGACTAGTTTCGCATGTGAAAAAACAAATATACTTTCCATATTCAAGAATAGTTTTTTCAAAGATCACCTAAAAATAAATCTCAAACATTTTTGTATTATGCACTTCAGTTTTGGCTTCTGAATGGCCCAGGACACAATTCTCTGACTGTCGTCATTCAAAGATGGCCATGATGCCGGCAATACTAGGGATTGTTGTATAAAGTTCCATGTAATATGCATGCGTGCTCATACTGTTCATAGAAACTATTTATGCAAATTGAAATATTTCATAGCCTCATACATAAAAAAGGAAATAATAGCATGTTGTTAGAACATATGGTACTCGACTAAATAAGCTCTAACAAAGAATTCTTTACAAAAAAATGATAGATGGATTTATCGTAGGACCTGATATGTTATTTAGTTGTACGTGTGTATATATTTTTTGAGCATTGTTATTTTGTTTATAGATGAAGCTGTTGGAAGACGAAAAGGTGGAAACTCCAACTGAGGATCAGACGCTACTTGATATAAAGGTAAGATTGATTGATCGAGGAAACCAAACCATTTTCATTCTGAGTATCTGTCGAAGGCCATAATTACATTAAATTAGATTCATAACATAGAATTTCAACTTAGTCTAGGCGAATTTAGAAACTGTTTACACTAAAATAGAATACTAAGGTAACCTTAGCTATTTCATTTGAATTCGATGGTAGTCTACAATATATCCACACTTTGCACTCTACATTACTCGCTACGCATGAATTCCAGTAATTATTTCTTAAACGATTTTTCGGTAGCGCAGTTGATGATAATTATTTTTTTAAAAATTCATAATTTTGATACCAGTTTCGAAGAAATATTTTGTTGCTGCATAAGCAACGCTACATCCGTATAAACAGTTAATATTTAAACAAAGTAACGTGTACAAACCTTGCTATTTTGTTGTTCCTTTATAAAGGATGATCAAGAAGAGGCTGTTCAACATTTTTTACGTGAAATATTATATGCCCAAGGAAAGGTAAGAGACTATATATCTTTCATAAATTATATTTTAACGAATATAAACTTTTTTTTAGGATGAAATGATAAATAAAAAGAATTGGCAAAGTTTATTATATCGAAGAATTGGCTCTAAATCCACTGGTGTTGCGGTATCTCCAGAAGAATCTATCAAAAATATTCTAAAAATGGCTAAAGTTTTATTTGGTTTACATCTTGTTGATCATCCGCCTACACATCGGCATGGAACAGGACGTAAACTAATGTCATCACAACGTAAAAAAGCGGTTATGGCATGTTTTCGAATGGCACCACTCCATTCTGTGCCAAGGTATCATAGATAAATATATATATATTATCTTCTTCTCACTATTACTATTCATATATGTTGAACTGTTTAGACACCGTGCTATGAACATGTTTTTACGTGCTTATCAAGAAATATGGTTAGAAGCTGAAGAAGATACACGAGCAAGATTAATTGAAAATTTATGTGTAAGATAAACAATTGATTGAGATTTATAATGAGTTTGAAAAAAAATGGTTTTCTAGGCCGATATTGGTGAACAAAATGATATTAAACAAGAAATAACAATAATTAAAGAAGAGGCAGAAACTGAGACAACATCGTTAACATTGACATTAACATTTAAGCCGGATGCATTAAAACAATTGTTACAATGTTTAAATCGTTCAGCAACTGCTGAACATTTATCATTATTTAATATCACAGATGATATTGTCTATTTGTCTTATGCAACTATTATGAGCAAAGTAAAAATAATAGATAAATAAATCAAAATACTATATTGTTTCTAATCGATATTCATCGTTATAGAGTTGTGTTATCAGCGATGATGATGATGATGACGGAACAGAGGAACCAAAATCCTTCCAGGTACAAATTAAAAAAATAAATTTCATTAAAGAACAATATACTTTTCTATTTTCAATATTTCAGGAGCAAGAAATGGAAAAACAAAAATTACTGTATGAACAAAACAGATTGGCAACACGTGGTGCCGCTGAAACTGTGTTATTATATATTAGTGCTAGTAAAGGTAAACATCGTAACATATATTTCTTTTTAAGAAAAGATTCAATAATGATCTACTAATGTATTATAGGTGAAAATAATGATATGCTACAAAGAACATTACAATTGGGTATATCGTTATTGCATGGTGGAAACAAAGAAGTTCAAACAGTTAGTTTTTTTTATTGTCTTTTTTCATAGTGTTGAATAATTTTAAAAATTTTATTTAAATTTAAATTTTTAAGCGCATGTTAGCCTATTTAAAAGAAACAAAAGATGTTGGCTTTTTTACATCGTTAGCAACATTGATGGCAAATTGTAGTGTTCTCGATTTGGATACATTTGAACGTTGTATTAAAGCTGAAGTACTAGGTCAGTTAATAACAATACTATTAAATAGAAAAAATAAAGTATTTATTTTTATCTAGGAGTGGGATCAGACGGGATGGCTGGTGAAAAAAATTTACATGATGCCGATTTTACAATATCTTTATTTCGATTTTGTCAATTATTATGTGAAGGACATAATCTTGGTAAGATGATCTTTATTATTTAAAGATAAACTTAATGTATATCATATTCTTGTAGCATTTCAAAATTATTTACGTTCACAAGCGGGCAGTAATACAAATGTTAATGTTATTATTTGTACTGTCGATTATCTACTCAGTTTGCAGGTAACATATTAAAACTATTTAATAATAAATTTGATGTATTTAAATCCGTATTTTTCAAGGAATCAATCATGGACTTTTATTGGTATTATTCTGGAAAAGAAACAGTTGACGCTCATGGAAAGGAAAATTTTTGTCGTGCAATTAATGTGGCAAAACAAGTTTTTAATACATTAACAGAGTATATTCAAGTAAGTGTAAAAGTATAGACATCTTACATTTTTCACAATAAAAATATTTTTTTGTTGACAAAAATTAGGGACCATGTCCTCAAAATCAGTTGGCACTTGCTAATAGTCGTTTATGGGATGCCATTGCCGGATTTTTACACATATTTGCTCATTTGCAACGGAAATTGTCACGGGTAAAAAACGAGTTTAAAACTTGTAGCTCTTAATCTGATATTTCTCTTTATTTTAGGATCCACTTCAAATTGAATTACTTCGTGAATTAATGAAATTACAAAAAGATATGATTGTGATGCTCTTATCCATGTTAGAAGGTAATAGATTTGATCTCTACTGTTATAACAAATATTAATAGTAAAATTTTTATCGTAATATGTTGAAATGCTGTTTGGAGAAGAAGAGAATCGATACTATTACTATCACACACACACCCCAAATATCTATTGAGTTTAATACATCAAAATATTATGTACAATACTCCACAAAACTATCTTCTTCTCTACTCAATCTCAAGAACCATCATAGCTTCTTACTTCGGATTATGTAATGAATTCATACAACGATTGTTCCAACAATGTAGGCCTCTTTTAGAGAATGATTCATAACGGTTTTATTTGTTTTTCATAAAATATTCTTAACTCATGATTCATAAGAGATGAACACTTTACTTTGGTACTAAAATGTAGCCATGATTCTCTTCTATTTGATAACTATGATTTGATTATGTTGTATTGAAGTTAGCATGTTTATAGAAGTTATTACATCAGTATGACAAAATACATTGATAGTTCATGTCTTATTTCATTTTACTTTTTTTCCTAGGTAATGTTCTCAATGGTCCTATAGGAAAACAAATGGTCGATACTCTAATTGAGTCACAACCAAATGTTGAATTATTATTACAATTTTTCGACATATTTCTAAAAATGAAAGGTTTAACAACATCGGAAGCATTTCAAGTATATAACATTTTGATCAAATTAGGTTCTATTTTGACCTTGTGCTTTATAATTGACACTATACTCTTATTTTTAGGAGTTTGATACAAACAATGATGGATTCATTTCACCAAAAGAATTTCGTCGTGCGATGGAAGCACAAAAGATGTACACAACGTAAGTATGCTTGTAAGAAATTAATTGATTATACAATAAATAGTATAAACGTACGCTCAATTGACGATAACATTTATCTTCTTATGTTAGCCAAGATATTGATTATATTCTAATGTGTGTGGATACGAATCAAGATGGTAAAATTGATTTTATGGAATTTACGGAACGTTTTCATAATCCAGCCAAAGATATCGGTTTTAATATGGCCGTATTATTAACAAATCTTTCAGAACATATGCCACACGACGCAAGGTATAATTAATATTTCATTTTTTCGTCTTAATATCTATTTTTTCTTTTATCTTAATAGACTTCAACGATTGATGGACAAGGCAAAAAGTTTTCTATCCTATTTTCAAGAATATCTTGGTCGTATTGAAATTAAAGGTGGCGCTGGCTACATTGAACGAGTCTATTTTGAAATAAGAGAAGGGAATATTGAACAATGGAATAAAAAGCACATCAAAGTTAGTAACTGAAACCGTATAACCGACTAGAATATGTAAAAAATAATTCTTCATCTTTTAGGAATCGAAAAAACAATTTTTACATTTTTCGGTTAATGAAACAGATGACAAAGAAAAACTCGAACAATTTATCAATTTTTGCGAAGATACAATATTTGAGGTATTTTCTTTAAAATATTGTTAAAACTACATATCTTAAAAAAATATTATATTTTTATTAGATGGAACATGCTGCCTCATTGAGTGGTGAAGAACAAAATCCTGTAGCACAGGTTGTTCGATTGCAGAGTGAAACCGGTTTAATGAGTCAACATTCAATGACAATAGAACCAATTAAAATTGCTCTTTCTTTCACATGGAAGAGCATCAAAAGTTTATTTCATTTGTTAAAACCATCAACAATACGTGCCAGTTATTTGACGTTAAAACAAATGACATTATTAGATATTGGACGAGCATTAATGAAATTATCAATTAATTTAATGCGGTTTTCGTTCATGGTTACTATTCATGTTCTCAGGTAAGAAAAAAATAGATAGCATAGAAATGAGAATGGGCATGGTATGTGGTGTGTATGTGTGTGTTATCATTTTTTTCTTTCAGTCTGCATGTTTTTATCATCCTCAAATTTCTTCTACCAAATCGTCATTATTACTATATGGCATTTGCATTTCAACATTTCATTGAACGTTTACAGTTAATAATATTTATCGATATCATCAACACAAATAATTACAATGATTATAAAAGTAAATCAGCTGCTATTTATCAACCTGATACAAGTTATATTAATAATAATTACAATAGTACAATTAACATAAATAATCGCAAACGTTCGTTATTTTTCTACAAATCAACAATAACCCCTCGACATCGACTAAAAGACATTTTAAAACTACCGAAAGAGAAATTGAAAGTAGTACAGTACTCTCGTGCTATTAGATCATCACAAAGTTCAAATTATTATAGAAATGTAGCAAAAAACCTAATGAAACGGTTTGTGATGTTTTCACTACCCGCATATGTATTTTTCACGTGGTGTGCTATGCATGTTTATGTATGTGTATGTGTATGTGTGTATATTTGTGAGTAAAACATCTAAACATTTCCACTTTTAGAATGTTAACATATTGCTTATGGAATTTACTCACGGGTGAACCAGAAACTGTTGAAAAAATTGAAGTAGCAGCACCATCTACGAAATGTCGAGATCAAATATGTACGTTATATACGTGTGAATAATTTCTATTTATAATCGTTTTTCTTTGTTTTCTAGCGACTGTTTCAGCTGCACAATTTGGTTTCAACCATTTTGAAGAAACAACACCAATAAACGCATTTGGAATTGGCTTTAGTAGTGATGCACCCTTAAAACCAAAGTAGAAATCAGTGTCCTTTGTGTATAGTTATTTCTTTTTAAAATATTGAATTTATTGAATTTTTCTTTTCAGAATGTCAATAGCTCCTAATGATCGAATGAGTTTGTTAAATTTTGATAATGACATGGATGCACAAGCATTTGAGGAACATATGTCTTTATCTATCAATACTGCTGATCGAAGAACAAGAAAATCAATATCAACACGTGATTTTTATTTTAGTCATACAAAATCTTTGAATTTCAAGTTTTTCTCATTTCAGGTAGAAATACCAGAGCATCGCTTGTTACACCTCAAATGCAGGTTGATCAACAGACAATAATAGCGACGATTCCTGGATCGCAATTAACGACAACAGTACATATGCAACCACAAAATATTGAAAAAACAAAATCAGCACTTGATGTAGATTTCAATTGCACTCGGATGATGTTTCTTTTTGAATAAATACGCTATATTCATTTTAGGAATATGAAAAAAAACAAATTGTTAATATAGAAGAAGATGACATTTTTCAACCAGAGCCACCACCAAAATCAGATTATTCAAAAAAAATAATGGTAAGTAAACGGTTATTTTTATAAAAAAAAGAGTATTACTATAATAATTTTAATTATTTTCTAGGCATTTGTTGCAAGAAATTATCATACTCTAAAGTTTATCGCACTTATTCTAGCATTTATTATTAATTTTCTAATGTTATTTTATAAAGTAAAATTTTAGTGACACTCACTTTCTTCTATACGGATATTAAATCAACATTTTGTCTCTCATAGGCAATCGTTCCTCCATCAAACGGTGTACAAACACTACCGGATGAAGCAATAACGCGTGAATATGAAGATGAAAATGAAGTGATTATGATTGATCCAAAAAATTACTATATGAATCATCTGTTACGTTCAAGTGCCTTTCTACATTCATGTGTGGCATTTTTAATGATGATTAGTTATTACAAATTAAAAGTAATATATATATATATATTTTGAAATAATTATTATTAATTAAATTGATTTTATTTCATTATTAGGTTCCGTTAGTCATATTTAAACGTGAAAAAGAGGTTGCAAGAAAATTAGAATTTGAAGGTGCATGGTTAACTGTTGAAGCAGCAGAAGATAATCCATGGATTATATCATATTTATCACGTGAATGGCATAAATTAGTTATTAGTTCAAAATCATTTCCCGATTCATATTGGGATAAATTTGTTAAAAAAAAAGTTCGAAATAAATATTGTGATCAATTTGATTATGATGAATTAAGTAAATTTTTGGGTATGGAAAAAAGTGATACACCACATAAATTTGAAATATTGAAACAATCAGAATGTGGCTTTTGGGGAAAGTATGTTATTATTAAATAAGATAAATATATTTCTGTCAAATTGATCTCATCTTATTTTATAGACTATTAGCTATAGATTGGCGATATCAGCTATGGAAATGGGGTGTCATATTTACTGATAATGTATGTTATTATTTCATATTGTTAATCAAAAACTATCTATTTTCTAATTTATTTTTTTATTTTTCTAGTCATTTCTTTATGTATTTTTCTATTTCTTATTTTCTGTTATTGGAAATTATAATTATTTTGTATTTGCTGGTCATTTACTCGATGTTGCTATTAGTATCAAAGCATTGAGTACAATATTAAAATCAATTACACATAACGGCAGACAAGTTAATAAACATATTTCTTGTAGTCTGATGAGTTTAATTTTCAAAAATTTCAATTTTTATCATTTTTAGCTTATGCTTACAATCATGCTAATGGCAGTACTCGTCTATCTTTACACAGTAGTCGCATTTAATTTTTTTCGAAAATTCTATACTAAGGAAGAAGATAATGAAATAGAACAAAATTGTAAAGATATGTTTACGGTATGCTTTTTTTCAAATATGAGATGATAATTATTTTGTTTTGAGAGTCATTTTTCTTTGCTTTTTTTCTAGTGTTTTAAGTTTCATTTGTATAGTGGTATTCGTGCTGGTGGTAAGTATAACTGTTTTCTAATATCAACAAAAACATTTCAACGAAATATTTTTCTTCTTTAGGTGGCATCGGTGATGAATTAGAGTCACCTAACGGTGATCCATTAGAATTTTATAGAATCATATTTGATATAACATTTTTCTTCTTTATTATTGTTATTTTACTGGCAATTATTCAAGGTATATAAAGTAAAAACATTGACAATAGATATCATGTTATAAATTATACATTTATCTAGGTTTAATTATCGATGCATTCGGTGATCTGAGAGAACAATTGGACTCGGTTAAATCAACTCTTGAAGTTTGTAACATTGTTTTCGATAGTCTACAGACTCTTTCTTCAAATTGATAAATGCTCGAATTATATTTTTAATTTAAAAAATTTGTACATGATGTTTCTATTTCTAGTCGAAATGTTTTATTTGTGGTATTGGTCAAGAATATTTTGATAAAGAACCACATGGTTTTGAAGTTCATACTACAAAAGAGCATAATTTTGCTAATTATATGTTTTTTTTAACACATTTACTCAATAAACCGGATACAGAACATACTGGACAAGTGAGTCTTTTATTTTCTTTCTAGTTTTATCATTACATAAAGAAGACATTTTTTCTATTTAGGAAAGTTATGTATGGGAATTATATCAAAAACGCGATTGGAATTTTTTTCCTGTAGGTGATTGTTTTCGACGACAATACGAACCTGGTGGTAGTACAACTGATCAAAATTAAATTTATAAAACAAAGGTATATATCTTCTAATAGATATTAGTCGAGTCATAGTCATCAATTAAATGTATAAAAATTTTTATAGATTTTCCAATCGTAAATGTCGATTACGAGATCTATATCGTCAATATCTTATTGTCTATATGTTTTTGTGTGCTACTACTACAACAAAAGATAGAACAATTATTTAGATTAAACTTACCGGTGATACTTATACTGGATGTTCAACATTTGTTTTGCCTCCGTTTGTACAAGTATTATCAAATTTAATTTATGGGTGCTATTTCATAAAAAAGGATGTTTATACAACTATTATAAAAACTAAAATTGCTTTAACTTTATATGTTCAATTTTTACTGTATGTTTTCTACTATTTTTGCTACAATTTCAATATTGATAAGATTAGATCATTAATTTTAACATTAAAATTATTTGATGATAGCTTGATATTTTCATCTCTTAATCTGTTGAGTTTTTATACTTTTGCAGAAGATTCTTTCATAAATCTTCGAAAATTTTAAAAAAAAACGAAAAAGTATGCATTTACATAAAATGATATGTACTGGAAGATATGAATTACTACAATTATATATTTTATTTAAAAAATCTTATCATTAATCATTAAGATTATCTTTCTTCTCGTCTGTTTAGCTCTCAGATTTCTGTTACACTATTCAACATAATTTTTTTTTTAATACCAATATATATTTAACCGTCGTTTTCGTCCAATTTTGTGTTTTTTCTCCATGTGTACTATAATATTTTTTTGCTTTCAAAATAGAAAATAAATCGACTTCAACAAAGCACTTTATCAGATATCGTCTCGTATCACGTATTCTTAGTTCGTAGAAAAAAGCTTGAAAATTTATTTAGGTTTCGGTGAGGCGGCGCGTAGATATTCAATAAATGTTGTCTTTTAATCGACACTGTTTAAAAAGCTGGAAAAAAACAGAAAATTAGAACTGCTCATATATGGACGTTCAGATGGCGGCTTGATCTATGACAATCTCTACACGCTACTATATAACATGTGACAATTTTCACAAGAAACTTCGAAAGACTCTTATTATTGAAAAAAATTGGTTTCAGCGTAGAAAAAAATCATTTCTTAAATGATTTTAAATAATATTAAAAACGGTTAAAGTTAGGTGATATGTAAATATATTTTCTTCAAAGTCACGAAATCGTTTTGTATTGAAAATCATACTATTCATAAAATATGAACAGGAGATCTATACAATACACAATTCAAAAGATTTGTATCTAAATTTTCATTAAAAACAGTGCATCGAATATAAAAGAATCTTGAAAAATATCACGCATCAGATCAGAGATTCTATCGGTTGTATCAAATAAAATTGTACTCAACTGTTACACAGTATCGTATAGAAACATATAAAGACAAGTAACGAGAAAAAATCATAAAAAACATTTATTATTGATCATACGTTTGATAATACAAGGAATAGGATAAAAATAGAAACAAAAAAAAATATATATAAATTTAACTAGCAACCTTCATATAATCTTTCTAGAAATGTGTTCCCTGATGTAGAAAATTTTTTTTTTCTTTTTTTCTTCAATATTATATACTTTCGTGATAAAATTGTGTTGAAAAATGAAATTGTTAATCAAGATAAATTACGTAAACGTTCACAAGGAAAAGGGTATGGATAATATATTAAAATACACATGCATGTAACTATTTAATAAAATGTGTAAAAATTATTAGAACTAAACAAAAAAATTTTCGCATGATACATAAAATCACTGTAATTTGAGATGTGTAAAATGCATGTTTTTTAATATAATGACGAATTAAAAAGTTTATAACACTGTAAAGAGTATGTTTAAAGATGTTACTAAAATTAAAATTAGTATCAATTCGTAATGATTTATGAAGATCTAAAATATTATTGAAACATTTCGTGTATATCAAAGAAACTAATGTCGTTGGAATTAAATGTAAAGAGTAAAACATTTACTCGTCTCAATAGAAATGTAAGTAGAAAATTTCTAGATGATCTTGAGAAAATAAATGACAACTCTTTCTGGATCACTCGTTGTGAAAAAAATATTTTTAGAATATTTTTTTAACGAAGAAACGTTTTTGCTTCATGCAATAGTACTCTAGAATAAACTATACACTAATTAAAATTTTATCAAATTCATTGTTTTATAGTTCAAAGCAAAAAGCGTTAAACTACCTGAATAATAAATTGCATTATTTTAGTCCGTTTACTTTCTCATAAATGAAGAATCTAATTATTAGCCAAATATCTTTTGTACTTCTTATTGTCATGTTTTTTTTTACTAAACTGCTACTATCCATTTCAGAAAAATCCAGCGGTATGTTCTATTTTTGAATGACTTTTGATAGGAAAGTGATGCTGACCTACGATAATGTTCTGATCTTTGAAAATCTTAGATGCATTTCACAATAGAAGACATATAGCGATAGTAAATGTACAAATAACATCAGCCAAAGTTGGAAAACAACAAATTAGTCCTTTCGATAACTCGTTCTTTCTCTGAGTTTAAAAACAAATCCAGACAAAAAAGAGTAAACAAGGAAATCTAGCTTATAAAATAACTCAAGCATCCGCTTAAGAGTAGATTTTTTGGAATCAAATAGGTAGCTGCGCCGAGCAAGTGCTCAAGTGCTACCGCCAAACGGATGATCGAGTGAACGCTTAATTAAGTGATTAGTGCCCAAATCAAACACATCAGTTAGCTTCAACCCACTTAAGCTGGTCTTAGCGAGTTAAAAATTGGGTTAGGTAGCTGCACTTCACGATTATTTTTACTTCTTATTGTTCAACGTTGTTCAACAACGTGCACCGTTGTCAGTGAGTAACTTATTAAAAATATAATGATCGATTTATTTTATGTAATATCAAAATAAAAAATTTATAATTATTATTGTCTCTATGGAGTTGTGCATAGAATCAATGTCTATTCATGATTGCCATAAACTAAGTTAACATCAATATTTAACATAAAAATATCATATTCATGTACAAAAGTTCTTTAAAAAAAAAAGAAGAGAAAACTTTCCTTCATCGTATTGCTTTTATATGATGCAATTAAACACTGAGTACATGTATTTTATACCTTTGTCGTATGTATACATATATAATTATATGAAATTAATATAATTTATTTTTCATATAATAAGCAAAACAAAAAGTGAGATGAAATTTTTGGTCACTACTGTAAAACTACATCAGTCAAAGGTTATTCTTCATTCTGAATCTTGCGGCAATGGTTTTTTTTTTTCAGAAGAAAAAAAAATTCATAAATCTGTCGCAAGGGAATTTTAGAGAAATTTGCATTTTTAATGTTTCTCTCTACTAAAATTAGTAGTTTCGAATAAACAGCATAATATAATAGCAAAAAGTCAAAAATAATCATCTGGCTGAAACACTTTCATAAAAAGAGAAAATGTTGAGATTTTGACTACACTCATTGATCGAAGTAAAAGAAGGAATAATATCATACCTTGTGACTACCACTACTAATATAGGATGATGAAAAGTTAGACTTATCAGTTTCGACTAGTTCGATATCTTTCCTGCAGTTCATAATCTTCAAAGATATCCTAGTAAGAAACCTATACATTTCTTGATAGGAACTTAGAGAATTTCTATCAGAATCCTTTCTGAATTTAGTTTACTTTAGGTAAGATCTCAATAAAATCCTATAGAATCCTCATGAAATCCGGAATACCTGAAAGTTGTAGGATTTATTAGGATTCTGTTAGGCTCTGAATAGGAGTGTAATAAGAAAACGCAATGACTGAAGCCTAGATAAAATCTTACGCACTTCATGTCCACTTTCTCCTGTAGGATCCTACACTCTAAAAGAAAATCGTAGATTAAAAAACGAAAAAGAATTTTTAGTTTTTTTAATCTACGATTTCTTTTTTACAGTATAGTAGAAAATAGATAGAAAGTGTGTAGAATTTTATCCAGGAGGATTTCATCTCTCTTTTTATTTCTACTAGTTTTAGTTCAAAGTATTGCGGCTATCTATGATTTGAGTTAGTTTTTCTAAAAGAGCCACCCCACCTAAATCATTATTGTATTTTTCTAACCAAACAAAATTTTTCCGAGTGATGTATTTTAAGTAAATTAATATGACACAAAAACAGTTGTTTTTAATTCAACTGACAATAAAAGACGTGTGCTTATGGGAGATATATTTAGTTTTTATGTTAGTTTGATGTTTCAATAATGATGACAATATTTGTTGCATTGGATCAATATTGACAGTGTCAATAATAGGTTTTTGTGTTTCTGAGCAGAAAAAATTATTTACATACATTAGGTATATAGAGGGCGATCACCCCATGCACATGCAACAAACAAAAAAGGAATAATATAATATGTCCAATAATGCCTTACATCTCTCTCTCTTTCGCGTTCTTTTTTCTTTTTTCTTTTTCATCTAGTTTTTATTCCTCTACTTAAAAGAATCAGGTTAATTGTATTCGAATAGTATATCAGTAGTTCCTATTTCTACATTATAGGGTAAACATTATTGTCGATAGATATTTTGGCATTATTGTTTTGCACAAGACGGTCTCATCCTGCAAAAACTACAAAAGAAAAGTAATTATAAATATTCTTGTTTACAAAACTTATAAACCTGTTAACTAAATTATGAGAAAAATGTGAAAGATCCCACTATCATGTAACAGTACAGTTAGACTACGCTGTTAAGCGCGATTAGTGATATAATGTTACTATTAAAGAGATAAATTTTGACAGTTACAGAAAATTCTCTGGAAACGGTACCCATTTTTTAACAAATCATCAAAGAGCTTCGAGAAGAGCGATGTTAATAACGTTCTTTTTGCCCATGACTGACGAGCATTAGAAACGTTACTGATACGACCGATCTAAGTTACTTAAGAATTTTGAAAAAAAGTTATAAAATACTTCTTTTCAATTCATATATTGCATACTTTTAAAGACAAAAGAGCTACTGAGACTACTCTCTTTCATTAATTTGCGTTACAATGAATTCGAAAAGGCACAGATGCTCCGATCTTCAGCGGATCAGAAAATTATTCGAGTAACAATTAAAATATGGTATTTGGCTAGAAAAGCATTTTCTTAAACTATTTCTTATTTAAACAATCTTTCCATTGAAAGTTTCTAAACTATAGTACTTAGCTATGTTAGATAAATATTGAAATGAAAATAATGGCATAGTTCTTTGCCTTTATTTTTAGTCTATGTCGAATTTAACATCAGTTCATTTGCCTCGACGAGATTCGATGAAACATTTAAAATTATATGATTTAGATGATATCCAAACAAAAGACACAAATGCAACACCTTCAATTGATCATCAACAACCGCATTCTAATCAAAATAATACGTCATCGTTAAATCACTTAATCTATAAATTATCTGGAACAGAAGTGCGGAATGATAATAAGAATGATGATGATACACCGATGTACAGAACCATTATTTCATCGCAACAAAAACAAAGACGCTATGTATTAGGTTCATACATGCGATCAGAAAATATCACAAAAATTCAGAAACGTAAACCAGATGATAATGATGATGATGATGATGATGATGATGATGAAAAGCAGACGAAAAATAACGATGAAAAAGAGTCAGATAACGCTAGCGACGACGACGATGATGATGATGATAATAAAGAGGAAAGTTCGCCAAGTAGCAGCTCTAGTTCAAGTAGTTCATCTAGTTCAGAGGATGATGAAGACGACGATGACATATGGTTAGATAATCGTGCACTAGAGGGTAGAAAAGAGGTAAAAAATGAGATAAAAAGTGATACTAAGAAAAAACATGAAATCCGATTTGGATTAGTCTAAATTATTTAAGGAAGAAAATTATTTGTTTTTAAATTATTGTAAATAAAAATGCTTTTCTATTTTTATTCAGTAAATATGTGTAAAAAAAAATATTCAAGAATAATTTATTTTAGGAAAAATAATCAAATTCGGATATACTGTAAATCAAGTAATATCAAGAAACTTTTTTAAAAGAACAAGTATGAACAAATCAAGTTGTAGAAGAAAAAAGATTCAGACATAGGTGCCCATTATTATTAGTTTTTTGACAATAATAAGCAATCCATACAATAAATAAGAACTAAAAATTCATCAAATGAATATTTACATTTTCCGTCACTCATTTTTAAACAACTCAGAAGTGGATAGAAATTTTGCTTAGAAAAACCTGTACAACTGATTTAACTATTAATCTCTATCTTTAGTTCTGTGGCATACATTGTGAGGTATCCGCCTTAATTCATTCGACATTCAATTTTTGTATTTTGACTAAAACCTACTCAATCTCAAATATGAAAGATGTTTTCAGGTGCCAGTTTTGTAGAGCCGAGTTTTGCTCTTCAAAATGTCCTATCTACTTTTCTTTTTATATCTCAAAACAAAGGCACAAAATCTGTTGCATTCTAAAAGACAAATTTCAAAAAGTTGTTTTTTTGACCATATATAATTTTACATTGAAAGTAGTTGTAAGAAAAAAGTCTATAACCTTTGATTCTTTTGAGTTCAAGCCTATTGTAATACATGATTTTGTAGATAGTTGAATGCTCTACAAAATACTGGGTAAAGCTGCTCCGAAATACAATCTAGACAAGCTGGGAATAGAGCCGAAAACGTTAAATTTCTTCCTCCTAACGTCATTTTCGTTGCTTTCTAGCATTTATTCATAGCTAACCACTTTTTAGTCCAAGAAATATTCTGAGCACATATTCGGAAACAGTACAAAATTCTGGCTCTAGCGAACTACTTTTGATAATCAATAGTGACGTTTAAGCGACTGACAGATGAACAAACATTTTGTTCAAAGACTTTCGGTCCAAGCTTCATTTTCGACCCTGTCAAACATTTGTTCTGTGATAACTCTAAGTCAAAAAAAAATTCGGAAGATATATTCAGAAAGAGCACAAAATTCTGATTATTACTAACTGCTTCTGACTCTCACCACTTGTTTTCAAGTGATCGGAAAATGAACGGACATTTTATGCTACGACTTTCGCGCCATGGGTTATCTAAAGAAGGAAAACCTAGAAAAGAACAGCGAAATTATTTTCAATTTTATGTGTATAATGCGGGAACAATAGTTACACTTAGAACTATACCCTTGTTTGCCTTTCAACATGACTAGATACTCGACGGGTTTCACCGAAATCGGAGATGAAATCCTGCATTCTTTCATTCAAGGTTATTGATACCTATCATGTACATACTGACACCTTTCATGATACATTTAATCACAAATTATTTTGACAAATGTATTATTGATGGGACAATATCCAATATGTACTGTGTAATGTGTCTACAGCCGATTCAAGTGGCATTTTTATATGGCATCTTTTTTGCTACAATCAAATAATTGTTTATTTCGCTTTTATATAGTTTTTAACTGAAGTTAAGTCTTTTATAACGAAAATCTCACATGTCAATGAGAGATTTTTTGTTTGACTATCACATCAATGTGCGAAGTGTATAATATACGAAACAAATTTGAAACACAGACAGAACCTTTTAAGGGTCCTTTCCTTGGGTCTCACGCCGATCCCTCAAAAACGTTTTGCCCAGTAAGGGTTCGGTACGAAACCCTCATATTTCTCCGGAAAATATGTTTCGTCTGCGAAATAAGGTCCAGTATTAAGCATTTATAAATATATACAGTACATTTAACAAGGTGTAAACGTTAAGCCGTCAGTTAGTTACAACAGGTAAGGTTTATGTATGACGTTGGAAACAAATGACAAATAATATTTTACACAAGAGCCAGGGAACAGTTGAATTTTTGATAAAATGATAAACGCGTCAGAATAAGATACCTGTTGTTTCTTTGGTAAAGAATGATGAACTAAGCTCATGGTTTCATGTACCGTACGAATTACTAAGAACTTACGATCGACAAGTCCTCGTCAGACAAAATCAGAAAATCCTCATTAGTTTACCTTCGTAATGGTCGTTTTAATCAATTGACATATGAAATAAATGCAGAATTGTATATTCTGCAAATGGTGAAACTTATTCCTAATCTCATCAAGAATCAACAGCTATCGCTAAGACAATACATCCAAGACCAGAACTTTTTCTTGTCATCAAATGTATATAAGCAATTAACTCAGTTACTAAAAAACAAAGCACAGAAAGAAAGTTCAGTAATAGTCAGGACAGCAAACACATCAATTATAAGTTCACCCTCTTCAGTTTTCTCTAGTTTCTCACCAAGGCGAATAATATGCAGTGAAACCATCTGGAGTTTAAGATGGCATTAAAATTTTCTTTTTATAAACAACACATACGATACCTTTGAAGTGTAGAGTGTTGTTCACAAAACCAGTCGATCTCACGACCGAAACAAAATCACAAATTGAAGACGTTCAGCTCGAGACGATTTTAAATTTTTAATTTGATATTTACTCCTCGCGAGCTAATAGCTCGATGCTATCTGCTGTACTAATATATACATCTGCAGTCTTCTTTCTTATAGAACCATTTTAAATATACGGATCTTTTTTTTCTCAAATATGAAACCATTTTCACTCAAAATGAATCAATCACCTTGATAGAACCTCCAAGGTTGTATCGCACCTCGATCAACCTATGAAAACGTTCCATCTGAAACATAAAACCCACAAAGGCTCATTCTGCATCGTTTTCTTTTATTAACTAGTCGACAGAGATTACGACAATCTTATCATGATTATAATGAAATCACTAAAATCAAATAAACCATGCATAGTAGCACGACTTTACACTATTCAGTACCTTTTTGTTTGAATATCA